TAAAAGGGAATTTGATCATTTTCAATTGTATATAGAGTCCTACAACACTAATAAAACTAGTACTTAAACAGCCAATCATATGAAAGTCTTTCTACTTGTAAGTCAAGCATTGCTATGTATTCAAAGTTTGCATAACAGGATCATTTTTCAGGCGTTTTATATCTTGAAATACTGGTTTAATAAAATCATCGGACGTTGCTTAAAATAAAATAAAGCTAATTAGAAAGTAGTTTTTCAATTGATTTCGAAAGGATAAATGCATATTTCTGACTGAATGATACACATTTCTCAAGCACCAAACCATCAAAATAATGTGAGAAACAAGCAGTTGCTGTAGTAATGCAGTAATGGCAATAAGTGTAATATATTCATAAGGCAGTTGATGTCTCAATTTTATATCCATCTGCTAGTAGTATAAAAATTTTTGATATAAAGATTCTGGATGTTGCATAACCAAATGGTAATGCATCGATCATCAATTTTGCAACTAAAAAAAAATTAGGACGGGATTTTTTTTACCATACATATTTATAGAGATTTAGATAAAGGATGATGATCTCGACCAACCAATTATATGATTGATTTCACTAACGCTAAATTTATTTAAATACAGATAAAAACATAAATGATTCGAGTATCAACAAGATTTTATCAGTGTCACTCACTTTTCACATCGATCCGTCGATCCCATCGATTTAATTCCACTATGAGTCGAACGCTTTCTGATTTTGATGCACTTGTTTTAGGTTCTTACAAAGATGGGTCACTTACGGATACTGCAGCGAAAGAAATTCCTGAAAATTTACAAATAAGCATTCAGGAACAATTCCAATATTCCGGATTAAAAGGAAAATTGGGTGAAGTTAGAATGTTTTATGGTCTAGGTGGAAATGATGCGAATATTCCAAAAAAAATCGCTGTAGTGGCTTTGGGAATTAATAAAAGTTCTGAGCAAAGCCATGATGTTTCTGAAGCCTTAGAGATAACTCGCAAAGCGGTATCGTATATAACTGTTAAATAAATAATATACGTAAATGACGTATTGACATTTATTATGTTGCGTCTTATAGACGGCTATTGGAGTTCGTTCTTTACGAGAGTTAGATGTTAAACATGTTGGAGTTGATGTTATGCTTCATGAGCATGGTTTGTATGCTTTTTTCTTTAATGAATTACAAATTTTCTTCATTACCTACCATTTGACATATCTTTAGGCGCAGCTGAAGGTGCCATACTAGGCCTCTATAGGTTCGATAGTTTAAAGTCCGCCAAAAATCAAAAAGCGTCACCTCTTATCTCACCAATTGGTTCGACATCTGTCGATGGTAATTTATCCTGGAATACTGGTCTAATTTACGCACAAGCACAAAACCATGCTCGAAAATTAGCAGAAACACCAGCCAATCTTATGACACCAACTAGATTTGTCGAAACTGTTGAATCTTTCTTAAAGGGTTTACCAAACATAAAAATTTTTGTTCATGAAAAAGAATGGGCAGTCCAAAAGAACATGGGGTCTTTTCTATCAGTAGCTAAAGGTTCTGTTGAACCATTAAAGTTTTTGGAAATTCACTATAATGGTGGTGAAGATGGTCAAAAACCTTTAGCGTTTGTAGGAAAAGGAATTACTTTTGATAGGTTAGTATTCTCATAATCATCATAAACAATTATTAGATATTTATTTTTTTGAATCAGATAAAATATTTTTTTATACTCATAAAAAAACTAGTGGTGGTATTTCTATCAAGCCATCAGCTAAAATGGCAGAGATGAAAGGAGATATGGGTGGTGCAGCAGCTGTATCGTCTGCTATCTATGGTATAGCTAAACTTGGTTTACCGATAAATGTTATTGTCTCTGTTCCATTGTGCGAAAATATGCCATCAGGAAGTGCAACGAAGCCCGGTGATGTTGTTAAGGCCATGAACGGCAAGTCAATTGAGGTATAAATAAACATTATTATTTTCATATTTTCACAATTATTTAATCTGTAACATATTCTTTATAAACTATTTTTAAGGTTGACAATACAGATGCTGAAGGACGTCTTATTTTAGCGGATGCGCTCTATTATACAAGCTCCACTTACAAACCACACAGTTTGATAGATGTTGCTACCTTAACAGGAGCTATGGTAGTTGCTCTCGGAGAAATTTATTCAGGCGTGTTTACCAATTCGAATAAACTTTGGGAGCAATTATTAGAAGCGGGAAAAATTGCAAATGACCCTTTTTGGCGTATGCCACTAAATGATAAATATAGCGAGGACATTAAGAAGTCAATTGTAGCAGATCTTGTAAATGTTGGGCCAAAGGGTTCGGGAGGTTCTTGTGTAGCTGCCATTTTTTTGAAAGAATTTGTGAGCGGATTGACAGATGACACTGATGTCAGTGAAAAGGAAAATGGTTTTGAAAAATTGACTGATGTGGATGCGGATGTGAATATAAAGATTCGTTATGCACATATTGATATCGCGGGTTCAATGATTACATCTCGGGATTCAGGATATCATGTCAAGGGCATGACAGGTTCAGTACATAATTTAATATTTTCTTCGGGTTAATATAATAACAATAATTATTAAATTAAAACATTTGAATAATTTATAGGACGTCCAACTCGCTCTTTAATAGAATTTGCTAGATTAATTGCCAAAAACCCTGATTTTGTTTAATCAATAAATTTGAATTGGTTTTCTTATCGAAAGCTTGTTGAAAAGAACATTCTTATCCTTTGCAATTATTATCATAAGAATATGTAATATATAAACTATCGTAATGAAAATGCAAACGCTTTTCTCTTTGTTTTTTTTTTTTTTATTTTCGTTTGCTTCTAATCAACTACTCAGGTTTTATAATTGCTGCATCTTATAACCAATAAATCTTTTATTAGGAGCCATATAATGTTAAGGACTCACTTATTTAGTGGTCGTCATTTATATTTCTGTTGATAGCAAAAGACAATCCAGAATAAACGTATTTTTAAAAGCTGATACTATTAAACAAGTTTATACTGTATTGATAGTGTCGTGCCTGAAGTTACTTCAGTTACACCTACGCACTTGAACTTCGGGTACGACATAATCATGAATGGCAGGATTACAGGATTAGTTATTTGCACCTAATATGACTGATGAAACAAGACTTTCACACTCTGGTCTATGTGAACCGGAAGTAAGATTCGTTTGCGGAAATTTAACAATCATTCGAAGTTACATAGCTAAAGAAGTGCTTAGTGAAATAGCTGCTAAGTTATTTTAAAAGAATTGTTAATAAAAATGCGTTCAAAAAAGTTGGTTCAACGTATGCTGTGTTGTAATAATAAATCTAGAGCTCTAATATTTGAATATGAATATTCAAATATACAGTACAATTTATTTGTCAAATAATTCATTGAACGTCAGCTAATGCTAATTAGAAATACGATTAAATATAATGAATCTAATTATATAGTTAGTATATATCACACTATTATCTTTTATTTAGAGCTAATTTTGTTTGCATTATTTGCATTATTTCAACCAAAGTATAAAAGAAGTGATGTTAAATCGTTCTATGAACCCGGTTCGGAAGTAGTTAGTTTTAGGAAAACTACTGTTTGAAGGGAGTAGGATCGATTTTCCGTTCACATGATTTTCCGAGATCAATTGACCAATTAAAAATCAGGGTCTGGTGTAACATAAAAAAACCCTCCTTTCTATCTCACTATATATTATGTATTTTAAAAACCAGGACCGGTTCTTGAAAAGTCCAGGTATAATCCAGCAGTTTAATATACAATATAGATAAGTATGAAAGCGAAATGCCATCAGAAAATCTGCCAATATATTCGAAATAACGCCCATGGGCGTATTCGAGATAGCGTGCAGGTATTCAAAATAGCCCGCTATTTCGAAAATTTACGGTATAATAAAAATTGTACGTACAGCACTTAAATAGGAACCAGTACTTTAACTTGTGCTAAAAATCTTAAAATTAGTCACTTATAATTACTCTATTACGCCATTTGAACTATATATATAGTTGAATAGCATTATATCTTACTAATCTAAATGACATTATGAACTACTGTATGAATTTATATATCTGATATTAACTGTTAAACTATATACCGTACGTAAGTCTTTCAATTAGAACTATCGCTATATAAAGTTAACGTTATTATGCATTTAAAAATGGCATATTTGGTTCCAAAATGACGCCCATGGCGCCTTGTATTTCATGGATTAAATAAAAACTTGAGATATTAAGTACCGTAATAACAGGTATTTACGCGTTATTTTGATCTTCTACGCGTTATTTCGAGATAAAATCCAATTTCTGATTCACTAATATATTGTATGAATATAAATATTAAAGATATCTTACTAGATAGATTTTTATCAGTTATTGTTAATATTAACAGAGTACAAAATCAACTAAAATATTGAATATTCAATTAGAAGGATTGAACAAATATTCCATTAACATTAATACTGTTGATAGCAGTGAGTAATCATAATTTATATCGTTAAGATGTATATAAAGTTAAAACAGCAAGAATATAGCTGAAATCTTTTAAATACGAACTTTATTATTGATGATTAATTACACATCAGAAATTGATTTTTTTTTCTAATATTACCATTGTTCTTGAAAAAAAGAAGCATGAATATAACGAATAAAAATTATTATAAATTAATCTTTTAATAGAAATCGATTTTTTACAGGTTGTATTTAAATTACTATAGTCGTATAGGGCTTTATCTGACAAATTTATTTAAGTCGTATATTTACTTCATATATTTACTTTACAATTTGTATTAATACACTATTGTTTTGGAAACTCAAAACGTTTTACATTGTTCAACATTTTATATTACATGCCAAAAATTGTCCTTTTTGGAATTATACCCACCAATCAGCAGGCTTACCTCTCCATTAGCATCATTAGCACCATTAGCACCATTAGCATCATTAGCATCATTAGCATCATTAACGCCATTAGCACCATTATCACCATTAAAACTCAATCATGCTGTCACTAGGTAAGCCTACCTCATTATCACCATCAGGCGAAAAAAAGAAATTTCCACCTTCGTTTGAATCATCGTTTAATTCATTTATTTCATGATCATCTTCTTTTACATATTCATCAACTTCATCATTGTAAGTAATATCAGAAGCTATAGATGACGACGAAAACGATCGTGTAAATGGAGTTGACCGCTGCTCAAATGTGGAGTCATTTGCAATCAAGTTTGATGAAACTGATGAAAATCCTATTGATGAATGATTTTTATATTTTGGAGATGATGTAGATGTCGCTGTTATAGAAGGAATATTGTTTCCAATGTGAATGTGATAAGCATCCTCAAAAGATAGTGGTGTTATAGCTGTCAATTAAGTGAAAAAAAATATAATATTAAAATTTTGCTAAAAAAATAATTATAAAAGACAGGCATGCTACTTACATGTATCAACAACAGTATGTTGTGTGTGACCATTGGAGAAACCATTCAACATACGATCTTTAGATTTAGTGCTAAACGCAGAAAGGGTTGGACTAGACGGTGTAAAGTCAAGTGACGTGCTCATTGCCGTTGATAGGTTCACTGTTTGTGTTTGTTCATAAATATATTAATTACAACTATTAGCATTATTAGCATGACAAATATCAAAATATATCCGATCAGATATATACACACCAGAAATATCCCCAGCTCCTCTGCCAATTGCTTTACCCGCTGGAACAAGAACCGCTTTACTAATCTTGCCTTTATTGTGGTTAGATTTGTTTTCTTTATCCATCCATCCTTTAACACCAAATTCATCATCATTAGCTTCATTAACAAGTTCTACACTTTCCACAATGTCCCTTCGTACTTCAATCTTCTTTGAGCGAGGTACTTCACCTTTTTTTATAGCATCTTTATAACCAGGTAAAAATACTTGAAATGAAAATTGAGGAGTTGCCCACAGTGGTGGAGGTAGAGACATTTTTGAATCGGTATGGGTTGCAATTTCAGCATTTGCAAGCCAATTTTTTCCATCTCGTTTAATCGAAATTTCACTTTCGGTGCATTTCTTTGGAGCTTCAATGACATTTTTCACTTCAGCCCAAGAACTATTACGAATTAATTGCCACTCAGCAATGTCTTCGTAATTCGTCACCATATCTAAAGTTCCTAATTCTTTTTTAACAGAACCAGCAATTCCCATCCCTATACTCACAACACCTGCGGCACCACCTACTAATGCTCTACCAACATTTGCGACAGTAGCCGCACTTCCTGATAATTGAGTACCAGCAAGAGTAATTAAATTAGTATTGTTTATTTCATCTTTTGTTCCTTGACTAGAAGTTTCTTCAACAACTGTTTTCTCCATCCACACACGATGTAACGTCAATATACCAGCGGGGTGAAAACTCAACAAATCTTGATATCCAATATCATCTAATTTGTTATCCCGAGTTTCAACCCCAAGATAATTAGAGTGAGAAGAATTGTTTATAGAATTTTGTGACCATGATTGAGTTCTTCTACGACTTTTTCTTCCCGTAGAAGTACCATTTGATTTAATACCTTCCATTACAACATTAGGAGATGATCTCCTTTTAGCTTGTCTCTTGGCATGCAAGTTAGCAATTAACAAACCATTGTTTGCATTTAATTCTGATTTAGAACCATTAGGCATAGAAGGTAAGAATTTAATACAGATTCCTGGAGACTTTCTCATGTAATAAGAAGGAAGTGGAATATATGGATGTGATAAATGTGATTGACCATTATATTGAGGATAAAAATTATTCGGATTTCCATGATATTGTAATTGGCTTTGACGACGTGATTGATCAATTGAAGAAGCATTAGAATCTGTAGACGATAATTGATAATGCTCATAAGGCTTATTAAGATACATATTTGAGCCTTGTGAAGCAAAATTAACGTCTGATGAATCTTGTGGTAAAGGAGTTCGAGGCTTAATACGAACCACAGGTGATTGTGTGGTTGATTTATGCTATAATAAATTTAGATTAATTAATTTTGTTACTTTAATGATCAAATCGAACATTTACAAATACCACCTACCAATTCATCTACATTATTAACCCATCCTGTTATATGAGAAGGCACATGTGCAGGACCACCATAGGGATTTATTGCAAACACATGGATAGTTCCTCGCCCACTAGCGACTGCACACCACCTGGAATCACCACTCCAACCTACACCTCCATCACTAACACTAGCATTCGTATAACCTCTAGATAGTTGGTACACATGTTTTAAATTCCTGTTACTTCTGAGTTGACGACGTTTACCAACAATTTCGAATACATGAAATTGATGGCCTTGAACAGATGTTGTAAATAAAAAGGAACCCGAAGGATTGAATGATAGATGTCCAACGGGATGTGTGTGCGGTGAAAAATGTGCAACAACACTAGGTTGTTTTTTTTGTACGCTACATGAACTACCCAAATCGCATATAATAACCTAGTTAATGCATATTAAAAAAAAAGAAGAAAGTAGATGAGAAAAATGGATTTTTTTTAAATAAGATGGCATATATATGTGTGTGTATTAATAGAGGACATTACCGCTCCTATAGCACCATTTTCTTTGTCATTTTCATAACCACTAATGTTATAATTTAAGCCTACAATATTGCTACTTTCTCCACTACCATTGCTAACACCTCCGCTCTTTAAATTGTAATAATATCCATTAGATGGACTATCTTGTGGAGAGAATGAACCACGTGAAGCGGGACTAATTGAACCTGCACGATTTTTAATATTTATAGGCATTGTAACTTGTGGAGAATTTGAGTTGGCAAAATAAGCAGAAAAAGTTTGGTATCCATAGTCGCCTTTATACAGAATAAATATGATTAAATTGATGTGATATAAAAATGATAAAAAAAAAAAAAAGAAAATAAACAAATTTAAAGTACATACCCAAAAATTTTACACCATTAACAACTTCTTTTGCAACACCTTTTGCAACTTCTTGATATTTTCCAGTTGTTCCAACATTACCATCACTTTCATCCATTGCATGACTATCCAAGTTAGCATCCGTTTCTGGAGGATGACTCGTTGTTGAATAAGCCAACAATCGAGGTCCTAACGCGAACACTGGAGCTCGAGTAGAAGGATGTATCGCAACATCTTGTAATGGTGAAAGGAACAATGGAGCCAGTGTTAAAGGTGAGATTATATGAAGTCTTGGTGGATTAATGAGACTCTATTGGCGATAATAATAAATAGGTCGAATTTTCAAATTTAGCAAATTAAAAAAAAGGATATTAATTCAGAATTTAAAATGCAAAATCACATACCACAACGATGGCTCGTTCATTACAATTCACATTAACAATGTTACCCTCATTCTCAAAATCTAACGTCTTTACAATTTGATTCGTTTTTAGAGAAAAGAATTTTAATACACTTTTAGGTTTTGTGAGCATATCTAGATGGCCATTTTCTCTCTGTGGAGTAGGTGTACAACTATTAAAGGTAACATAATCATAATCATTTAATTATTAACTAAAAAACTAAAAAAAAATAAGCTAAATCGACGAATTATCCAGCGATTAAAAAAAGTCTTACACTAAACAAATCAACGGACGAACATCAGCAAATTTGTCACAAAGATTTTTAGACGAATAACGCGGATTACATATTGACTACATTATATTTAAAAGCGGCGCAAATTAATAATTTTAAGAGTGAGGAAAAAAAATTTTTTGTTTTAAGATAAATAAGCACCTTTATGCACGTGACCTGGCCAATATTTTCATTATCTCTGATAGACATAAGCTCATGAATATTATCTATATTTGATACATTCCATATTTGAAATCCGTCGGGATAACCTAACAGTAGAACCGACTGGCTATCAAAGAAAGAAAGAATAATAACGGTCAACGCGACAAAATCAAACTGTATAATAAAACATGAAATACAATATATGTTTATATATTTGTATATTTATGAAATACTGTATACTTTTTTTCGCAATTATGAGAATTAGAAGCTGAAGTTATAATTTCATCAAATGCTGCGTATAAGATCAAATCTTTTTTTTTATCAAAAAGTCCATCAGAAATAGGAAATGATTGAGAATTCATATCGTTGGCTAATTGATGCGACAAATAGTCCGGATAATAGTTTATGGGCGGTTGATAATCGGTTGTAGAGTTTGCAGAAGCTTTACGTAAAGAAGCAATAGAATTCGGTAAAGAATTAGCCACGTAAGATGACCAACCAGATATAACAGAAGAAATAGATTCCAAGGTAGAAGGGTCTCTATTGAAAAATAAGAAAAAAGTATATGAACATGAGTTTGAGATCTCGAAAACCAACGGTTTTTTAAACTAGTTACCTTAATAATTTTGGGTCAGCCTTAACTCCGTTGACGTTAGTAAGTTGAGGAAGAGAAGACATTCTAGGATGGAAGTTTATACACGATATTGAAACAAGAACGAAAAAAACAACGTAACAAAAGCACGAGAAAGAAATGAAATATATTAAAAAAACAGATTATAAATTTTTCTATTTTTTAGTTTTTTTATTTTTTTTAATATTTAGTAGGTATTATATTAAAATAGATTAAAATATTAATAAATCAATAAAGAGGCAAAAAATAAAAGAAAGACTAACAACGAGGATGGGTTAACTTGTCGAGTGTAACTTTTCAATATTTTGATAACGAAAACATGAAGTATTTATACACACAAGTTATAATATGCATATTTATACATATGATCCATGGTGAGTCATAGTATAATCTACCGTGTAAAACTATAAACTGTAAAACTGTTGATCGTGTAACCAAAGTGCATTAAATAACCCCAGTGAACTATATCGATATCTGTCAAAGACATATCTGACATATCCGGTGGTTATATTTGGTACTGATGTGTAAAAGTACTATTCAATATAAATCGGTAATTGTTTATATTTCTGCATGAATATAATAAATGATATAGAAAAACTCTGGGGCTTTCTAGTTTCATACGTCAGGATCTGTTGCAAATAAAATGTTACGTATGCGCTAAATATATTCACTAAATATATATATATAAGCGCAGTATTTGGCCAATGGTTGGTTATTCCGATTGCAACCGTAGTTATATGCGCACGTACGTCGTAGTACTTTTTTGCATAATTTTGTTCTATTATAGAAGTTAATACTCGTCAGGTCTTTATTCTCCGCTGTTAATTTTTAACGTTAGGACAGATGATCATAATGTGACCATAATATTATATCATGCTTTGTTACACGACAGTAATAATGAAAAATTTTTATTCACCTGATAAATTATAATATTTGGATGATCAATAACGCTAACGCTAATAATGACATTATAAGGTCTCGATATTTCGAGGGGCGGTTATTGTAAGCTACTGGTAAAGAAGTATACCTCTAAAACTAAACCTTTAAGAAAATAAAGAAGTATTCATCGTCCAGATTTATCATTATTCAAATAACCACGTAACATTATAGATTGGCCAAATCTCGATTTTTAAATCCTCTTTTCGAATATCCTTCAGGATGATTTTAACATTATCTCCAACCGTTCCATACTGATCAATAAACTCTTTAAACGTTCTTTATCACCATTACCCTGTATCATCAAAATTTCTTTTGTAAGATTTGCGATGGATGATCAAAATCTACTCGGAATTTGTTTTTATCATCGTCAAATATAAATCCACCTTGAGAAAGGATGTAATTTAACCGTATGACACGATCAACTGAATAGGCCTATAGATTACTATTCCTATAGATTAATATTAAACCTTGGGTTTATTTGTTCGATGATGTTGGATTAGTGAAAAATGTGAATAGAAAAAATAAGGCGATACTTCCTTATGACCAAATATGAGAGATCTAACATTTAGAGCGAGATATAATTGTTCCAAAGGTGGTTGTGTCATGAGACCTTTATCCATAAGATATGCCACAGCGAACATACTTACAAGATCTGTAACATAATGATAGTGCATATTATAAAAATCGAAAATAAAGTTAATATAATTCTAATATTACCAGCTTAAGTTTCCTCAATAGCCGAATGATATTCTTGTAACCTATCACGAACAGGAACAGAACCTGACCTTATAATGTAATGTTGACCGTTTGAATGTCCTACTTCATGTAATAGTATGCGGGTCTTTTTTAAATAAATAATTAATAAATTTAATTGAATAATTAATAATTGAATTGTTAATAAATGAGTAATAGAATGTTATCTGTTATAAAAAGACTTACGAAATATGCATCGAAAGAGAGATGTTGTTCTATTAAATTTTCGTATTTTGCTATTAATAATAAAAAAAGCGATTAAATATGTGCAAACGCGGAACAGAGATTTGAAGAACATTATTGATATATACCACGCTGAACGTTCTTGATGAGTACTAATTTTGAACCAATTTTCTTGACTTTTTCCTATATACAGTATTACACTTATATCAGCTATAATTAGCAAAGAAAAAAAAAATCAAAGACCAATAAATTGGACTTACAATATTAGGCAAATTGTAAGCAGAAGCAATTGATACTAAAAAAAAATTTAAAATTTCATTTCACCCAACCAAAATTTCCAATGATAAATGATAATTAACCACAATAATCTTTGGTGTTTTGAGATCCTTATTTTTATATTCGTCAGGTACTGGCAGATTATTTTCAATATCTTCAATATCTTGCATATGTGCAGCGAATCCTTCAACTAGTGCAGAAGACTCGGTATAGACTTCATAAGGACCCACAGTCACTATATTATTTGAGGATTTACGAAACATCGAACCAAATCATCTGCAATAATATATTCTCAACGTTAAGGCTAGTACTATGTGTATTGTTACCTTCAAGTCGACAATCCTTGCTAATATTTAACCAAGCAATTTCACTTTCAAAATATTGATTCGACAAAAATGCATCCCCTCTTGACCATAAAAACTTGGGTCATCAACTGCCTCTTTCAAGAATTTACTCAAAGGTATTAGACATTCTATGTATTCTTGCGAATAGGGTTTCAAAAACAATTGACCATTTTCATTTCTTTTTATAACAACCTTTTGATCGTCGTCAGAGAGCTTTGATACCTAATCGTTGAATTCATTCTTAGTTATATCTTCTGGATAAAAATTAGCGCCTTTAGGTTTTGAAGGAATTCCAGGAATGAATGCGGTATTATTGTCAGTTCTGTCCCATGGACCTTTCATGATGTGAAAGAATTGAACTTCTTGTGAGTAGCGACCCCAAATTGGGCTAAAAGAAATTCATTATTCTTCCACTTTTGGCGAAGATAGATTCTATTTTTATATATATATAATTATAAATAATGTAATTATATTATAAATAATAAATACTAATAGAATTCATATCAAACAGTTTTATAATAACTGAAACCAACCTGTCATTAATAGATCCAGCTAGTACGAGTTTATGAATTGCTTTGATTTCTTCTTGACTAAAATTTAATCTAGAAAAATCAACACCTAAAGTAACGATAGCAAATTTCGAAATTCGTTTCAAAATGTCTATTTTTTCTTTATTGTCGTCTAAAGCTGTCTATTTTGTACAAGAATTGTTTCAAGATTTATTGATTTAAATTATTAGATTTAATAAACACTGAAACAATATAATACTAACCACATCAATATTATGTGTATGCAATAACGCGACTAACCATCATAGAAAAACAAGTGTTTAATCTTCATTGTTGTAAAATGATCAAATTATTTGCTATGAGAAAAATTCAGAATGACTTTTCACATCAGTTATCTTGTTTATGTTAAACTCGATCGATTGAAAAAATTGCTATAGTTTCGAATTCCGTCCGTTACATAATTATTACATATTAACTTTATTATAATCATTGACTGCACACATTTCTTTAATTAATTTAAAAATACACACAACTGCTTCAAATAAACTTTATGTTAGAAATATTGCGTAATAACGCGCTATTAATCTCTACGATATTTTTACTAGAGATGTATCCGGGTATTTTTTTTTGTATTTTTTATTCATTTCGTTTTGTTAATCTTCTTTTTTACTATAGAGTATTTCTCAAGACATAGAAGCACTGCATTTTGGACTATAATTCGAATACGTATTGCCAGTGCATAAAAGAAATTATCGCTCTCAAATATCCCCGGGTACAAACTATATGAGTCAGTAAAATATTCCAATGTTATTATTAATAAATTGATATCTCTTACACTGTTTTATTATTAATGGTTTGGATTTATTATATTAAAACTAGTACAAAAAACTGAATTTAGTACGTTTTTAAAACTCTTTATTTAATAATTTTGCAAAAAAACTATATATCTTAATATTTTTTAAAAATTTCATAGGTATTGATAATGCTGTGATTAAAAGCTTATAGATTTAAATGTTTTTTTTAAAAAAGTTAAAAATATTTTTGTAAAGGCAATAGAATTTTTTACATTTCTTGCATAACAAAATATATATATAAGCTTATATAATTTTTTTATTAATAAAATTAAAATAAAACTATTTAACACTTTGTAATAAATTCTTTTTATATAACAAATTTAAATATATAATTTGTTTTTATTTTTTTATAATTTTTTAAGTGTCTTAATTTAGACAAAGGTGTAAATTCAAACCATTAATAAATTTATATATCACGCTGTTTTATTATCATATATAGTATATTACTGCAGTAGATCACAAATAAAAAGAACTCCTATTTGCGTAATTTATTTGCGTAATTATCAGATATATTTGTCATGTTATTTAGCTTTAAGTCATGTGAAAGACAAGTAAATTTCCATGGTTGAAATAGGCGTTTTTACAAAAAAAGTAAATATTTCACTCTGTCCGGTATCGTATGTCGTATATGTCGTGGAGAAGATTTTGATATACTTGTATTGCATAACAGATAAGCAACAATCAATCACAAAAATATAAGTTATGGCATAGATATCGATATTTTTCAGGTGTAATAATTTACGTACCACTGTACATTAGAACTTAAGTCGTGCAAAATACAAATGAAAGAAACTATCAACAAACTATGGTTTATCAATTTTGATATTCAACGGTTGCTGATTTTTATTTTCTTTACGGAAAATTTGTGATTTATTGTACTTGGTTAATGTGCATCGTGTAACAATGTTCGCGAAGTCACAGTTTGGTCTTTTACGGCCAAAATAAATTAAACTAAAAAGGTTAAGCATAATCTTCAAACCTCCATTACCATAATAATTTTTGCTATATTAGTTTAGCCTGCGCTGGAACTTACAATATGTTGAAATTTTACGCAGTTCTTATCTGTTATGTAAACGATTACTGTGCCATGAATTTACTAAACTATATCGAGGAATGTGCGGATCATAATGAAATCGAATTAAAATAAAACTTGACGTTAGCATGAGTAAAAATCCATCTGATTGGTTGTCGGTCCTTGAATTTTTACTGGCTGATTAGTTACAGCAGAGACAATCCGAATATGGGGGTCGTCTAAAGCCGTGTCCATCACGTGACCTAAAGCCAATAGAATTGTTTATTTTGATCGACACGGATCAGCAAAAAACAGCGAAAAAAAGTGAAAAGCGTCGGGAAGACAATTTTACTATAAGACATGACTGACCCTAACCCCAAACTAACGAGTACATCTATGTGCCCCCCGCCCGATTTGGAAATTACGGTTTTTATCCAATCAGCGTCTATTACGTCGAATTTACACGAACGATCAGTGTGTAACGTTAAAATTAAAAAATTGATCGTTTTTTTAAAAAAACGCTTTTATCTTAAAATTTCGCTTATAAAACTAACTTCTGCGTTCTAACAAAAAAAATTCCTTGCGAAATTTTGGTATAGTTTCTTCTTTTAAAGCCCTACCCTTACCCTAACACTAACCCTAATACTAATTGACGGTATTTTTGTTTAAAAAAAAAAAAACAAATATCGAAATCATATAAACAACGACGATCATTTCCATTTTGGGCGGGGGTTACATAGATGTATT